TTTTTGCGTTTTTTGAAATATTTTTAAGTGTATATACCATACACGCGGACCAGCATGATATGCATACCGTTGGATAGGTAGAGAGTCAGGCTACATTATGCAACAAACCGTATTCTTCTAACACACGTCTGGGGAAGGCTTTATAGAGGCCATCGGCCTCATCTAGGGAAAAAACGATAATAACGAGACCTACGGTCTCGTTCTTACAACGAGCCCAAAGGGCTCGTTAAAACCCCCCCATACCCCCACCCTCCTTTGTGTCAAACATATTTTATTCTATAAATTTAATTTTTTCTTTTCTTATTATTTTATTTTCCATATTTGTTTTAAATAAGTAAGTTAGTTGTGTTAATTGATTGGAATTTGTAGTTGATTTGCCTACCTAACTATCTAACAAGAATTATTTTAACTAAAAATTTTCGCATTGCCTGAAGTGGTACTCGAACTGGCGCCAATAGTTTCTGCCTACAGCTCTACATTTTTCTATAACTATGGTTATAACCACTGATCTACTGAACAAGTTGATTGTGTGATGTCAAATGTCATACAAATACAGTGAAAAGAAGGGAAAAACGTGAATTGAAAGGAACTTTTGGATTATTCAGAAAACTTACCTATAAATTTCCCTTTCTGAAAGAGACATTTACGAATGTCGTGGAAACTGTCTAAGGCTAAAAACTATTCGCTTATTTCTGAATTGTATCAGCAGAGAACGTAAATATAACGAGCAGAGAACGTAAATATAAATATGTTCTTTGTCTTACGCTTTTATTGCTTGTTTTGAACTTGTATTGTTTTTGTTTCTGCTGAAAAATACATTCCAGTCGACTCATCGACATCAATTGCAGTGATTCTTTGTTTCAATTGTGAAATAATAATTTATAATTCGAACATGGAGTCAAATACAAATGTAAAGGAGGAATCTACTATCGCAAAATCACAAACGCTTAATGTTATGTGTGGAATCTGCTTCGAGTTCTACGACAGTTCGGATCGAATATTTTCTACAACTTGTGGCCACTTATTTCACAGTCAATGCCTGTTTGCGGCACTCACAAATTCGAAATCATGTCCAGAATGTCGCCGACCCTGCACACGTAACCGTATTCATCCCGTATTTTTGAATTATGGTGAACGTTCAGAATTGGATATCAAATGGAGTAATTCAAAAGCCGCTGATGCGTATGCAAACATGCCGATTTGGACACCACTATATGAATTAGAGTTGCTGGAGACGGCCCGTGCTCCACTGGCACCACCAGAACCAGATGAAGCCATTCAAAGTGGAACAGACACCGATGGTAATCCAACATATGTGGCTCGTGTATATTTTCAAGATGATTTATTGCCAGCTGGTTATGTACCTGCGAAAGGTGTTGCATATGCTTCGCATGGTTGTAACGGATATGCTTTTAGTCATAATGTTGAATTACTTAATAATTTCAAACACAAGTGGTTGGCTGATTCCAATGGACATGTACCAGAAGGAGCCATTGTTGGGGGTTATTCAGAGCTTAGAGAAAATTTGTACGTGGCACGAGGGCACTATAATGACAAAACTCTGTTAGGTAAAGTACACCCTTCCCACAGGGTCATGTACATGCCATACAATGGAATAGAAGTAAACACAAATGAATATGAGGTTTTGGTGGCGGAAAATTGTGCAACCGAGAGTAGCGATGAAGCAAATAATGAAGTTTAAATTGAAACAATTATTAAACATATTGAGAATTTAGTAATATATGATAAAAAGGCAATTCACATTAGAGGAACAAGCACAGACAAGTACATGCGTTACTTCATTTTTTATTATAAAGCACACATTCGTGAAGTGAGTGACCATATACTCACTAAAACGAAATAGTATGGAAGTTAACATATATGTATATATGTATGTTTATAAGAATCTTGTATATATTTTATCATCGAATAAAAACCTTTCAAGATTTAATCTTAGATTGATTAATATAAAAATTTTCTCATTTATAAAATATCTTAATAACGTACTCAAACAAATGTGAAAAGATTTCCTACTGCGGGTTGCAGGGACTAAAATCAAATCGCTTCCGGAATAATTGAATGTTTATAAAAGGGTTTTTATCCACCCGATGACTTTCTGTTCAAATACCCATTATGAATATAAATATTTTTGAGATTACATTATCGGATCAAAACTATAAAAAATGCTGAACGATTAAAATCTTTCCTTACCGGATCAAAACTATAAAAAATGCTGAACGATTAAAATCTTTCCTTACCGGACGTTTTAACGTAAGAAAACAAGACAAATGTTACTTAACAAAACTTCGATTTTATTGTTTCTCATCTATCTAATTTTTTATATATGTATGGATGTTTAATAACTATTTGCTTATGAACTAATTGTTTAATATTTGTTACCTGTTCTAGAAACAAAACCACACAGCATGCAATTGTAAATACATTCTTAACTGATGACTTATTAAAAACTAAATATTGAATTATACAGTTTTCCGTTTACTTTTCATTCATTCATAATATACAATTATATCATTTTCTGCAATACGCATACACAATGCTTTAATATCCAACTTTGTTTTCATGTTTTCCTGTTTTTATAATAAGTTATAATTAAAATCTTTCTTTCCAAATTATGCAATTTTTAATATGCAATATTGTTGATGATATATGGTAACAGGATACTTTATATACATTAAGATTTGCTTTGTCAATGCAACAGATTATCCTGTATTTTCTTTACTTGCTTAAGGTTTATTATAAGTTAATTTATTATTTATTCTTCTTTTTTATTACGAATGCTTGGTGTGACCATATAATTAATTAATCCTAAATTTAATGCAATGTTAATGGCAACATATAACGCGGAGTGGTACTAAAATGCCTTGTTAAAAATGATTGACATATCGAAAGTACATTTATTTTCACAGGACGTGATGACAATATTATGTTAAAATGTTGTTCGTTCATTTGTTAAAAAGAAAACAAGAGATGCTAATCCATGTTGATAAAAAAAAAAGAATTTCACTTTAACTAGGGTAGGACTTAAAAAAATATTTTGTATGAGAAGTAATTACAAACTTCTTAATGCTTGAGTTTTTTCAATACTCCATATCTCTATATAGTAATATAGTAAATAATTTTTATTTTTACTAATGTTTTCGTATGCCAGAGCATAAAAGACATAAAAGACCGCCGTGCCTTACGCGAATTCCAAATTATAAAATTTGTGCTATGATTTAGGTATAATTTCAAAATGTGGTTAAACCAATTGTATAAACTATTCTGTAAAGTAGTTTACGTGCTCCTAAATATATTATTAGAAACATTTCTGTTTTTTTTTCGAGACAAATTAATAAATGTGAATAAGACCAAATTAAGTAAATTTTTCACAAATACAATTATATAAGAGCCTTGTAGACATTTGTAAAAAATTATACCTTAAATGTTGCTACTCCATCTTTAGCATAATAACATCGAATTATCAAAACACTTTCCAATTTTACTATTCAGGTAGTAACTGAATTTCCGCCTTTTACAATTTGTATTTGTATAAAAGCAAATGGGTACATTTATAAGCAAAAAAAAAAAAAAATTAAAATCGGCAATGGAACGCGTACTTATGGTACATTGGTCTAAGTTAAGAAGGAATAAAAATTTATATGAATTTATAAGTAAACTCCAAACGAAGATTGCAATGATATACGGGAAATAATTATCCGGGGGACCGAACATTTTTGCTCTAATATATTAGTCGTAGTTACTCTGGTTGCTTAGTGCACTTCGATTACTTTTATTTCACTTGCTACGCACCAAATGCCACCATGGTGCATTTCTCCGTTACGATTAGCGAAATGGACTCATCTCATTTCTTCGAAGACAAATAGTTCATATACTTCGCAGTTTGACGAGCATTGCGCACTAGCTCGCTATTCTCATTTTTTGAGTCCCATAAATTATCCTTTTGCTGGCCATGCACACTGTGGGTATCCTCCCAACGGTCTTGTCGTTCTTGTGACTGTTGTGCGAGTTTTTGATTGCGTTGACGTCGATTAAAAGCCCCCGATGCTTCACTGGCCAGACTGCTCTGGCTACTATATCGTCCATTGAAATTCCGCGAACGCTGTTGCTGTTGCTGTTGCCTATGTGTAGCAGGGCTTTTACTGCGACGATAGTTTAAAGTACCATCATTAGCATCATTATCGACGTCTTCAAAGTGTCGTGATTTGCCGGGTCGTGGAAGGGTACGTGCCCGAGACGAGCTGCGACTATTGGAATCGGGTCCATTCGAACGGAAAGAATTTTCGTCTTGATATGAATTATTTATTAAATTATTACGTGACTGACGCCACGAGTTACTATGTATGTTGCTATCCTTCTGTTGTTGCTTTTGGAAACGGGGTGGTTTATCATAATTATTACGGTTATTAAAGTGACGATTACCTCGGCGATAATTATTACCACGTTCATAGTTGCTGATGTAGGAGCGTTCGCTACGATCGTCACCATGCTGCGACTGTCTATCCCAATTTGAATTGGCAATAGAGTTGAAATTACAGCCACTACGTTCCAATTTTTCTTGTGAATGTCGTAAACGATCGTTTATACTGTATAATCGAATACTACCACCGTCACTGCGCACGCTCTGATCATCATCGAAACTGGCACTAAATCGGCGATGTTGATTATATGGCAAGCCTTCATTAATTTGTTGTTCGTTTTCGCGATTAAAACGTGGAGCCCGCCAGCGAGGGAGCGGTTTTGTCTCATCCTGTTCATCATTATTTTGGAACTGGTGATTATCATGCGTGCTATCCCTGCAAAGGAATTGATAGGATTACTTTTAGTAAAACGTAACGAAGTAGGTATATATGTTTATATCTTCCTCTATATCTCAGCTCACCTTTCACTACTCTCTTGTTGTTGATGTTTAAGCGGTCTCGGTGAGTTGCGTGGTTTTTGTGCCCGTCTAGCATTTCGGTTCGAGCTCTCATCATTGTGGTGTTTACTACTGCCAGAAATATTTGATTTCTCCCTTTCTGTATTAATTCGACAAGACATTACTGCGTCAACTCCTCGAGCACCGTCGCTCCCATTTTTCCAGTCGTGATCGTGACTGGTAAAATCATTACTAAATTCACTTTCATACAATGAATCTTCACATACTTGTTCACTCCATTTTTTGGTTGACTGTTGTGGTTCTTGCAAATCATCTGAAACATTTTCATTTTCACCGTTTTGGTAAACTGTGTTTTCAGTAACTTCTGACGAAGCGACTGTTGTTTTGGACATCTGTAGTTGTTCCTGCGGTTTCTTTAGTGTAAATTGCTGTTGTGATGTTAGTTGCAGTGCTTGTGATTGGGACTGCCCGCAGATATTAATATTATTGTTACCCTCATCTTCAACATCTTGTACCAGATATTTTGTATACATCTGTTCTAGCTGCGTACCCAAATTTGTAAAGTTACTGTAGTAGAGATCGAGCGTCATTAACAGTAGTGCCTTTACAGTGGCACTTAACGTTGGTTGTTCAATCAAGTTACGCCTTATGTGGTAGAGCAATTGTGTTAATTCGTTTTTATGTCTTACTCGTATAATATCTCCATTTAGAGTGATTTGTGATAGGATTAATTTGGATAATTTTACATTTATTGGCTCTAGTCCACTAACTTCACGAATCAGCAAACTCAACAATGACTCGCCTAATATAGTAATCGGCGACTGATCTGCTAAGCGTACACGATTGTAATATTCGCCCAATAATGTAATCGAATTGTAAAGGCGTTCTTTATCGTGAACGCGGTACGTGTCAGCATTAAGATAATTCGCTTCGAGCACCTTTAACATGGCACTTCGTATTTTCACATCCTTCATAGCTAGCTGGTCAAAGTTATGCGACGAAAATAGCATGGCAAATTTTAAAGCCATTTCGCCGTCGGCTAAAGCTTTGTCATTAATATAGTCCATGCATTCACTGTAAATACATACAATAAATAATACCTTATTCAAAATAATACATAGTTAATAAAAAATAAACTACAGCGGCGGCTGCCGTAGTCGAGTCGGGACAGGGTGTTCTACGACCTGAAACTCTACAAAGTTAGAGACATAAATGTTAGCTGCTAACCGTTAAGATATTATAAAATTAATATATGGTATATGCATATATACATACATTCATATATCAGAGAGAGGCATCTGGTTATTTTATGAAGTTTACTCACAGGTGCAATGAAAGAGAATTAAGCCTTAAACTTTGAAAATCGTTTGAAATTACTTCCTCCCTTTATTTTGTTAGCCACTTTATCTTAAAAAAAAATTCAGTGCAGCTTTCCTCATGACGATTTATTCCCATAAATGCTGTCAATATGTATTGTTAATATTAATACAATTGGAAATGTTTTATTTAAAAGTGGCGATTGTTTCTCTCATGGAATCCAAGCAATAAGTACACATAAAGCATTTGGTATTAAATACGTTGAAAAGGAGCGTTTTAAAAAAAAACAAAAGTCAATTGAAAATTGGTAAAAAAAAAAAAACTTTTCTGCTGGACGTCTACATACTACAATGTATCTCCTTTTATTCTCATCCTTTCAACAGAAGTGCCACTTACCACAACATGTTTTCGTCGTGGACTAGCACACAAAAGTCCGAGCGGATCGCCTTCATCTTATGATTCATCCTAATTCCATCATCTTGCAGATCAAGACCGCGTATCATTTCCACAAGGTGGTCATATCGACAAACTCCTGGCGACAAGTTGAAGGCAGAGTTTAGGTTAGCTGGCTGCAAGAAATTACAGACGTCGTTTAAGTTGCTCACTGCAGCTGTGGCACCGTCACCAACGTTGTGCATTCCACCAACGCTTTCAGAATTTATATGGCCAGAAACGCCATTCCTACATTGATGGTTCGGCGCATTATTGTTTGCCATTTTTACTGCTCTAACAAAACTATAAGGTGAAATTGTGCCAATGCTATATTTTTGTTTTCTTATTACTGTTGTCAGTTGGCCGCTACAAATGCACACTTTCTTCAGTTTTTTGGCAATAATATAATTATTATTTATATTTGTACCTCACTAAAGCGGTCAACTCAAATAGAAATGGCCGAAAAAATGTATGAATTCACACACATACACGTGAATACGGGAACCGAGAAACTAAGCAGCGAAAAATTCATGCAAGTAGACAGTACGAAATCTATGGCCGATATGGCGCTAATCAAACCAATCCACCGCCTGTCTTTAGGCACCAACTTTAAACCTTCAACAATTTCAATTTCAGCTACTAATAATATGACTATTAAATTTAAGTATATATACAATTTATAAAATATTAAAGATATATGTATTTAGATGGCTTTCCGTCTCGTGGAAATGCTTTTCTCACTCGCGTTTTTTGCAGAGAACGTAAAATTAAAGGAAAACCTGAAAAAATCCCCAAGAAATAAGAACAAAGCAAAACTGTCAAGCAAAAGCAGAGAAGTGTCAAAAACTGAGAACGTAAATATAACGAGAAGGTTCAATTGCGGACCAGCGTGTAAACTGTCAAAAGCTGTCAAGTTACGATGGATGCATTTCACCACAGGCCGTCAGAAATTAACAGAATTTGCTATTGATGCATAACATTACTGAGCGAAGTAAAAATAAATATGCTCAGAAATGTACTGCTCTGTCTACAACTAACATTGTTTATGCTAACTTTAGATAACGAATTTTTGTAGGCTTTTTATCAAAATAAACGTAAATATTATTCTCAAATTATTAATATATTTTTTGGAATGGGGGTGAAAGGATATATTTCATTAATGTATTTTAAATCTTTTTCAAATTTCTGCATTATATAATAGTAAAGGTACATATGTCCTTATGTTTTTCATTTATTAATTATTTTTGGGGTAAATATCGAAATCAGTGAACAAGTGAATATTCATTCATTCATTTAAACGTATGAGCGTGCGTGCAAATTCATATATGTACATATACATACGGCAAATCATCTCTTCATAAGGACATACCTTTACTATTATATAATGCAGAAATTTGAAAATTATTTAAAATACATTAATGAAAACTTCGTTATCTGAAGTTAACATAAGCATGTTAGCTGCAGACAGATCAGTACATTTCTGAGCATATTTAATTTTGCTACGCTCAATAATGTTATGCATCAACAGCAAACTCTGTTATTTTCTAGCGGTCTGTGGTGAAATGCATCGATCGTAATTTGGCAGCTTTTGACAGTTTACACGCTGGTCCGAAATTGAACCTTCTCGTTGCATTTATGTTCTCTGCTCCATGTATGTACTGTAGTTTTGAAATTAATCCAAAAATTACCATTGTAACCACTGTAACATTATGGACTATATAGGAAATATAGATATACTTGTATATATAACAAACATACATATTTAAATTTACGCATTTATTATATTTGCATTGAATATATGTATGTTGCTCGTTAAAACATTAACAATCATAGGCTAACAACAGGATGGTAGTGAAATTAAATTCTTGTAACACATATCTGAGCAATCTGTTGTAAGCAAATATTAATATTTTGATGATTTTCACTATTAATACGAGGGTATTAACAAAATTTCGGTAATTTGACAAGAAAAAAGAATTAGTTTTGTATTTATTCGTAATTTTGTTCTTTTTTCTCTTCTCTACATAATCGCCAATGATTTTAATGCTTTTTTAAGCCTATAGATCCACTTCTGTAAACAGTCTTCACACCTTGCTTTTTAAGCTAATCAAATTCAGCATTTACCGCATTAATTATCTCCTGGTTGCTATTAAAACCTTTCGTTTGAAATTTTTTTAAATAACCAGAAATCACAAGGTGATATATCCGGGAAATATAGTGCTGGACGTATTTCTTCGATCCCCGAGATCGCAATAAAATTACTTGTTATTTCAGGAGTGTAGGATGGCGCGTTGTCGTGATTTAAAAAGTAGTGCCGCAAATCATCTTTCTTCCTATTTTCCAACAAATTTTTAAAAACTTTTGGTAAGTACTCCTCTGTGTACCATTTTGCTGTTACTATCTGACCCTATTCCATTAGAATAGCAGCTACGATTTTAGATCGGGTGAAGTAAACTGCTATCATTAATTTTGCTGCTGATTTTTGATTACAGTTTACGGGTGGGTTTGCTCCTGTTGGACTCCATGAGCGACTAGGAAAATTGAAGCTTTTGATGAAAATGAGGGGGTAATTGTAGTAGGGAGGTCCGGACTTGGAACTCTTAAATCATGGACTGGAAATGGATAGGCGGCGAAGTAAGGAGCAGTTTAAAGTTGATATTTGGATGAACTCCGACAATTTCCAGGATGAAGATTTGGTAATGCTATATAATATGCGGTAATTAAACGCCTAAACGACGTACAATACGTCCAGACCGTTTTGAGACCAAAAAAATAAGATTCCCAATATCAGAGTTTGGAACAGCAAATGTTTTTTTACTGGGTCAATCAGACTGGTGGAGGGAAGTGTGGCGAAAATACTAAATACGAATTACAGATGATAGAGAGATACCGATAACAACCCAATGATATAACTCGAAGGATTTGGTAAATACTTTTTAGAAATATATCTCATTAGAAAGAAATGTAGCATACCTCCTTCTGTGGGGAATTTTCTTTTTCCGTTTGATTCTGGAATTTTGTTACGCAATGCAGCAGCCAGTAAGCACATACCTTACATTGTTAAATCTGCACACAACTTCCAACCATGAAGCGAAACCAAAAATAAATATGATGTGTGCCCATGTACTTAGCATGAAATCGTTTAAAGTGTGTAAATAAAAATAAGACGTAAATACATGTGTGATACATTGCTACAGAACTTACTTACCTGTTATTTATGCAGTAGTGATAAAAAATAGTTTATCTTTGTTATTTGTCTAGATTAAAGCAAGAAAGAAGGATAAATAGAAGAAACAATCTAAATGCGACTCAAAAATATCCGCTGATTAAAGAAATTCAAAAATGTCTTAATAACCAAATTTTACACGGTTTGCTATCTACAATAAAAATCTCTTTTAATTTTATTTGATAAAAAATATTAACATAACAATCATTTAAAAGTACCTAGTAGATATTTGCGTGCTTTAAGGCACTGAAATATACAAGTACGACTACGGGTATATAAATACGTAGCCATACACGTTTGGAGAATATATCGCAGACGCGAGCGTAGAAAATATGTAAATCGTCTACAAATATGTAATTTAATATTACTTTCATTACTAGGATTTACAAACATTACTTATATATGTGTAATATGCATACTTAAGAGCTAAAGATAAAATTTATGAATATTTCAAGAGTTTATAAGTGTATAATGCATTTATTTATGTAATTAACGATTTTTATGTTTAAAAAATGGTTAATATAAATATTATTTTTCCATTTTTTATTTTTAATTTTTTAAATTTGTCGTATACCATATCATTATGTATTCGGTTACAAGTAATTAGCCAGATATTCAATTCAAAAACGCTTGCATGAAATAAAATAAGTTTAACACTGAAACACCATTCAATCAATCTAGAATTGCTTCATTTCGGTTTCCCAGCAGAATATAGCATGTGTTAGATATCCCTTCATTTAGTTAGTTATAACTCTATCTACATTAACTGGTCAGCAGGAACATTTGCTCTTGCTTTCCGTTGTTGATTGTTCCATGGAGCTATTCAAATTAAATTTCTCGCCATCAGCTAGATCGGCTGCGCTGATCAATTTGTCGTTTAGTAAAATCTGCAAACGTTCTATGAATTAAAATTTTTGCTTAAGAATTATTTGATATTAAAATTTTGTAACCTTGTTCACTAAAGCACGGGCAGCCTCATCAATGTTAATATTTTCCTTTGCTGATGTCTCATACCAACCAACGAAACCGTTCTCACGCACATATTCATCCATTTTTTCTGGAGATGTAACAATGCCTTGCTTCTCCTGATCGCACTGCAGAAAAAATAAAAATAACAAAGAAGGCATCAAGATTGTGGAAAGTGAACGTTTTAGGGAAAATTAACTATGTTCTGAAGACGGGAAAATCATAAAAGCAAAAAATATAAATTTACATAACAATAATTTTCATTGGAATATGCATATATACAAAACTCTAAACAAGATTTCCAAAAAAAAATATAGTTTTTTTTGATGAGAAAAAAATAATATATATACATGTAAATGTATATGTAATTGCTTACCTTATTAGCTAATAATATGCAGGGTATAGGGCTGCCATCTGGTAGTTGAACTTTAGAATCCAAATCCTCTTTCCACTTACTCACACAATCGAATGTGCCACTTCGGGTTACATCGAATACAATAAAAGCACCAACGGCTTCTTTGTAATAAACACGGGTCATATTACCGAAACGCTCCTGACCAGCTATATCCCATAATTGCAAACGAACGGTTGTATTTGGATCCCAATGTAATACTTTTAACGCGAAATCCACACCGATTGTGGCCCGGTAATTTTGACTGAAAAACTGATGCACATAGCGTTTGATAAATGACGTCTTGCCGGTGCCCAATTCACCTATGACTAGAATTTTGTACAAATGCTCACGCTTTTCTGTATTCGCAGAGGTCATAATTGTCTGAAAACAAAAATGTAATAAGTAACCATACAATTTTAGAAAGCATACCTCATTGCCCAGAATATAAAAATATAAAACAAAAGAAACCTCTTCAGCAACTGGGCGGAAACATTGAGAGAAAATCATCACTCCAAAGTGCATTGTACTTATGCAAATACGTATGTATATGTAGACATAAAAGACAGCTTAATTATTCTAATCTTATTTCATTAGCACATCCAACGTTCAAACACATACAAATGAAATGCATACTGTACTATGTATATGCATTTCAAATTAAGCTTTTAATCTCCTGTCTTACGTCAAATTAACCAATAGGGTTTCAGTTAGGAGCTTATATTTCACTTTTTGCTTTAGCAGGTATGTTAGTAAAGTATACGTTTAACAAATACCGATTTGGAACAAACTTTATTGAATGACAGCTGGAGTGCACTTCGGCAAGACAATGAAAATATCCTCCAATGCAATCCTACACAAAAAATTGTAATAAATTATCTTAAGATTTTCTCCGCCATTTTTCGAGCATCTCTCAATATATATATATGTATATAATTGGCATTTTATAACTGTTTTGGTGATTTTCGGCAGAACTCCTCCTCTAATTTGTAATGTGCGTCTTGAAGCGTCTTCAAAAATTGGAGCGACTTACAATTTATTCCAAGTCGTCTCCGAACACCCGATGGATTTTTTGAGAAACTTTCATTTCATGTCAGAAATACACACAGATAATATATGGATACATAGTTTTAAATATTCAAGGCGAAATGCATAACTAGTTTTTCAACCGTTTAAACCTGATTATATTATTTAAAACGTATGGAAGGCTATATCCCCACTCACTTAGATTGTTTTGTTATCAGAGTTTAATTTTTATAATTTGATGACCATATTACCGGTTCTATATCCTGCTCCATGGTTAAATCGCCAAAAGCCGGCATCTGATTATCGCCTGAATCGTATTCTGAATCCACGGAATATTCACTAGTTATAGCTTGAGCTTGCTGATTGAGCTCGAAATTTTCGTCAAAGTTTATCGGCTGTGATACGTAACGTATATACCGCCGGCTCGATTCACTACGTGAGTCGCTACTTGGATTCGAATCGTAGGAACTGGGATCGTGCAAAGGACCAACGAAAGATGAAGTTTGCGGTCGTACTTCGCTGCCAACGGCAAAACGTACTGTTGCCTGCAAGGGAGGACTATGAGATTCTTGTTCTTCGCGATTGAAATCGCTTCTCAACGGGTGTCCTGAAAAATTGGGACTGTGTATTTTATTGCTCGAATAATCGCTAGGTTGTACACTTTCCGCCGATGAAACGAAGTCGTCTGCGCCACTGCTATTCGCTGTGGTAACTGATTCGTTAGCAACGAATAATAAAGCTTCTGAATTGTCCGTGTAGATGTCGTTGTATACGCCTGGATCTGGAAATATGAATTTGCTCGATGATGGGTGACGGATATGTGTCGATGTTTGAATTTCAGATTTAGTCGAAGTAATTGTTGATTTTGATGGTGGCGAGTAAGATGATGGTGGTTGGTAATTTGACGACAATAACTCATCCGAATCAAAATATTGCGGTGATGAGACTGTATCGTCTTCCGAGAGTTGAAGTGGTGCAATAAGCACTTGGTGTTGCTGTCTCTTAGGCTGCGGCTTTTGCTGCTGCTGTGTGTCTTTGATTTGATGCGATTTCTCGTCGAATGCTGATTGATATTCCAAGTGAAATTGTATATGTTTCTGATTTGCTTTCAATGAGCTTGTAGATTCGACCCCCTTGGAAGGCGCTTCTATCGAAACAGTAAAGTTTTCTGGCTTCGTGCGGTTTTGTTCGATTGAATCTTTAGCTGCAGTCGTTATTACTGTTTGATCATTTGTGGTTTGGTATGTCGTTGGAATAGAGGCTGCCAGCTTTGATATTACGTTACTATGAATTAGTGATTCTGTGGTCGCTGACTCAGATGCTTTTGAATCAGCTATTATGTCGTTGTTTGCACTTAATGGGCTTAGTGCTATTGCGCTGGGCTTGGGAAAACGATGACCGCGTTGCAAATCATTCGAACTGTGCATCAACTCAGTTTCAGTTTCAGTTTCTTTGACTTTGTGTGTCCTTGTTGTCGGAGCGCCCTTATTGCTGTTGTTTGTGAATGCCACACCAGTTGAGCTATTTACTTTAATGGATGATAATCTATTCAACGCTTGATGACCTGAAGATTTACCGCCTTTTGCGCGATGTCTCCTACCAGCTACGACTGCCGCTATACTAACAGCACCGAAGCCTGTATGTTTTTCACAACCAAGAGAGATGGAGGATGTAGGCGTTGTGCGAGGGCTATTTTTACGCACGGCACCTGTTATAGTCGACGTCGGATTAATTGCTGCAGTTGAAGACTGTGCAATGCTAGCTACTCTATTTGGTTTGGTGGGAGCGCGCTCGCTTGGCGGTGTATCGAGTGTACACTGGGTGATAACAAATCTTTCGTCAGTAGTTATTGTCGTTGCTCGTGATGCGGGAGTTTCTTGTACTGTTGCAGCTGAGAGTTTTTGTGTAGAATTTGGTACAGTACTGCCGCTAGTGGTAGTAGCAGTCGTCTTTATTATGGTCACTGCTGCTTCTTTAAATATACTTTTCTTCGTTTTAAGTTTCTTCTTCTTACCTTGGCTTTTACCAGCCAATGCTGCGGTGGTTATGTTCTCTGCTAACGTTGCAGACGTTTTTTTTATCTCACCTCCACTCTTAATGTCGCCGCCACTTTCGTCAGTATTTGGCTGTGCTTTATCTTCAATGGGTGACAGATAATCCGTTTCGCTTGATGAAACCGTTTGGACGTTAGTTTCAGCTGACGCTTGCAAGACAATCTCTTCTGTGGTTGTCGCTCGAAAACTGGATCGCTCAAAATCACTAATTGTTACTTTACGTTTTGTATGGTCTTTAAAATTATCATCCGATAAATCTGCTTCATTTACGTTTTCAGTTGGAGTTTCTTCTTGACTTCCATGCACTACGTCACCTTCCTCATCTTCTTCAATACTTTTCTTGTTATTGCGTTTTGATTTCTTTAAACCGCTAAGCAGAAAACGTTTTGCTAACTTACTTTTCTTTTTAGTTTTGGATTCCGGCGATGTAGATGCATTGGTGTCACCAATATCTTCCCCACCGCTAGATGCCAACGTCTCTGGCGCCGATAAGATCTCGCAAAATGGCTCACCTGCTATTGAGCTTTCAGTGGAGGTATCTTTGTTGATCGTGGATTTTTTTCGGCCTGAAAGTTTACGTAATGCTGAAGTTAAGCGCGAACGAGCCTTACTTTTTCGACGCGTTTCGGGATCTGATTGAACACATTCGCATTCCGATCTTTTAATTTTATCAGTTTTACTCGTAGCGTCAGTCAACGATATTCGATTTAAATGGCTCGAAGAGGTTGCCTTTCCCACCTTTGCTAAATCCAAGTTTTCAACATTCGTAAGAATTGTGGGTTGAGGCTCAACGTTTTGCATAGTACAAATGCTGCTTACGCACCGGTAATTAATCGTAATTTATCACCTTTCAAATGTCTTATTTAACTTATTCGATGGTCACCCCATAAATCAGTAGAAATTCGTTCGCTGTATTTGTATGGATTCTTTTTATTTTCCTTATCTTTTGCACTATTGGAAAATATTCTTAAAACTTTCATTATTCAGATTTAGGAAATAACATAAACTCATAATTTAATAAAAACTACACTTTTCCAAGCACTTTTCAGTATCCTTTAATACCATTATAAACATCTTTCAAAAATGCTGGACATATCCGCATTTAGAAACATGAGCAATTTGTTCGTTGTATCTTCATCACAGTCATCACCCGGTTCTTTGCCGTTTGTTACAGCCAGCAATCTCAGTCAACCACCATTCAAAATCGCACTGAAAATGTTGTGTCGTTCTGTTGGCTTTTATAAAGTTTTACGAGTATTTAGTGCAAGTGCAACAACTGTTAATTATTGTTGTTGATGTGCCCGTTAGCAGTCAACCTAAACCAACCACAAAACGTTGCAGGTGACGACTGAGGGGGTTGATGGGTGCAGAACTAATTCATCTACATATAGCACCAAGAATCGGATGAATTTCATTTCAACATTAGCTCTGTTCTGTGGCGCTTGTTTCTATATACCTACATATGTGTAAGCACACTTTAATACGTTCACACTGCTCGAGTGTGAGAGTACACAGTAAAAAACTAATGTAATTATGTGTATGCAAGTATTTTTTACCCATGCTTCAACAAATTTTGCTGTTTTATAATCTGAAAGCGTATTTTTACAGAACTATATATTTAATACGTTTTTTTGTTTCCTCGCTTACTTTATTTGATTAAATTATATTCAATTATCCCGGCCAACATCCAGAATTATAGAAAATTTATATTTTAAATTCCGGTCGTCTCTCCACAGAAAATGTTAAAACTCCCAAAGCTCATTATATAAATCCATTGGCCGCGCGGAGTCGGCTTAGAATGAACTTCAAGCCACTCCTTTGTTGGAAAAACATCCAGACACACATACACAAATTGGGAAGGGGCACTACCAAAAGTTGGTTCAGCGGCAATTATGAATATAAAGTACATTTTATTTTATTTGCAGCCATGTGGAAAGGAGTGCGTGCTACGAAGATCGTGTGTAGAAGCCAAGGTCAGACGGTTTGCCAGTCAGTACCTCCCCCTGAATTTTTGAGATGAATCAAATCCTTTAAAAAAAATTGCTATTTGACCAATGCAATTGTCTAATTTCCGGAATAAATTTTGGCATTATTACTTTTCAGTGTAAACTTTGTTACCACATTTACTAAAAAGCCTTTTAGTAAGTACTTATTGAAATCATAAATTAAGAAATTCCACAAAACGCTGTTGATAATATTTACCTTGGTTGAAAACAAATTGTGAGTTTCACTCAATTATTCTCAAACGCTTCTGGTTCGTTTAACCGACATTCCTCCTTCTGCGCATAAAACCAAATAAATATGTGTTTGTACTCATCTGTACGTACATATGTATGTATGAATACCGAATTTGGCGGAGCTTTTGAACTGGAAAATGAAAAAGGTTGTGATCCCATTTTAAATGGATCTGTACGTGATCGAAATAGTCACACATCAAGGGATAGGTTGGGTTGTTCATATGTTTATCAATAGATTCAATTTAGAATGCTTATCACATATTTTCTGAAAGAATTTATGTAGGTGCACTTGGAGATGCACTCGTACAAAGTCATGCAAATAAAAAGTTGTTCTTTTGAAAGTACCGCTTTTGTTGGAAATAATTGACTTCACTTTATAATTATTAATCGTATAATCTATTAAAAATGACATTAGCCTCATTTCTTTGGCGATTAAATCTAAGGTCAACAAGTTAGTGTGATGGATGTGAATAGGCAAATTATAAAATATGTTTTTGTTTACGTAACGATACAATTTATTAAGTACACATACTTGAGTAAAATATACAGCATTGGTAGATTTGGTCATAATAGAAAGTGGTTAGCATTACGTAATGCCATTCTGAAGGCCAGGGTTCGAGTCCTGTCTTGAACAATATCTAAAATTATAGAAAATTATAGCGTATTTCTGACATGAATATCAAAGCCGCTCATGAAAATCCATCGGCATTTCGGTGCCGGCGTGGAATAAACTCTTCATTTCCTGGAAAATCAAGACGCATAGCAAAAATTGAAGGAGAACCTCTGCCGAAAATCTTATTAGCGCTTACAATATAACATCTTAAAAATATAAAAATAGTTTAAAATACAAATATATACAATTGTAGCTATGTTATCTATATAAAACAATATTTTCCTTTTCCGGATAATATTTATCTGTTTAAAATGTGCTAGCCCAGGAAGCAGCCGGTTTTTAAATACAATATAAGTAACTGTTAAACTGCTTATCTGAAGTTTAAAATCAAATCCTCAAACATGATATATGCACTGTGGACGTGTAAATACTGGAGTATGAGTCAAATATAGTAATGCAGATATACTGTAAATCTTACTTATTCATGTGTGCATGTACATGCTACATATACATTTTTGTACAATATGGCCAGTTGGAATTAGCTTCTGAATGGCAAAGCGAATTTGTACAAAGTCTTCAAATTAAATTGTATACTGTTGTTTATACAAAAGTGCTCTGATCAGTAATACCAACAGAAAGGAAGTTATACACAACCCTTTGTTAGTTTTATTATTTGAACTTTTGCTTTATTTTTTGGTTGATTTCATTTATTAAAAAATATATTCATAAATACATAAAATGAAAAAATATATTAATTTTTCTGTAAGACTTTTAAAAGAGAAAAAGCGACTCTCTGATTATATTTAATAATCATTTCCACCAGTAGGTAAAAAATAACTCCGTCGCTGTAGAATGTCAAACTTTCAACGCTCTGAAGTGTATACATATATGTACGTAGCTATATCAATAACAAGTAAGTGAGAATTTTAATATTTTGCATAAGTTAAAGCTTCAAAAAATAACGAAAAATAAAAAAAAAACAGAAAAAATTACATGGCATTATATTTTATTTCTTGAAAAATAATGAAAATGTTATTGTTAAAAGGTTATTTACATTCGGTTTTGTATCATGTCTGAACTTCGAATAAATAAATAAATAAATATATATATGTATATGAATTTTATATCTAAATACCCTTTAAAATCAAACTCCATTTAGTCCAACAGGGCATAATGTACAAATGTACTGATGTACAAAGTAACTGATCATTGACGTAGAAACCGCGACAATAATCGGCATTGATAGGGTTTCTTCACTATTTGCAACATATCTGATGTTATACCAGTTAATACGAGCAAATATCCCATACCGTTTTTAGCTACTCTGAACAATTATATTTTTATGTATTCCTACGGATACCCGCACGATGAACTGGTAAGTATATACAGGGTATGCACATACATACATATGTATATCGTTTCGGTACAATTAATAATCGGAATGATAACCTATGTGATTGACAAGTAAGATTAGAAAAAGAGAGATGCTTAACTGCATTGAGAAATTCATTTTATTCCATTTTCCTACATTAGTATATGTATATATTATGTTAAAATATCTTTGAACAATATTTCAATATTAAATCTTTTAAAACCAAATAAATTATCAGGCTTTGGAATTTCATTTGCCTAAATAAATCACATTATATGTTATATTTAGTAAATTTTTTTATTTATTCCTTATCTACCTATTTTTTTGGATTAGTCGAAGAAAGCGGAATGACATCGCTTTGAACTACGCTTCTAACTGCTATGTGTGCAGCACCACATTCAAACTCAAAACAACCAGTCATTGGATGGAATTTTTGAGCTATTTTTAGAGTATTTATTAAAGTTTCAATGATTCGAATCATCAAAAAAATTTTAATTATTTCTGCCTTTTACAAAGTATTTATTGAAATCCCAATGACTCGGGTTATCAACCATCAAATAATTAAAAGGTGCTGCAGAGTTGCATGCATACATATATAAACATACATCTAAATCGGTCCACCCATTTAAGAGGAGCTAGGAGAATTGTATATATACACGAGTAAAACGATGTTAAAAATTCATATGTACAGTATATACATGCCGGAGTATATGATGTCGGACGGCATTTCAAGTTCTAGATACAGCTGCAAACGAAACTATTGGATTTCGTAAAGGTCGCAAGAACAGCTGGTACGATGAGGACTGTCGTGTCGCGGTGAAGAGAGAGCAGACTGTCTACCTTACAACGTTGCGATCGACCTCTACACGTGCAGGGTGGGATAGATACCGAGAATTGAAGAGGAAGTAAAACGTATCTGCATACAGAAACAGCCTTCGACAGCACGAAAAGAAAGGAGCTGCCTCTACGCCGCTATGTCTGAATTTGGTATCCTCGAAAAACGTATACGGCTGTCTAAACAGACCTTAAGCAACACTAAAAGCTCCTTCAGGTTCGAGATGGACCTTTCCGAGCCGTTCGATACCAAACGAGGATTCAACCAAGGTGACTCTTTATCGTGTGACCTTTCCGACCCGTTCGATACCAAACGAGGATTCAACCAAGGTGACTCTTTATCGTGTGACCTTTCCGAGCCGTTCGATACCAAACGAGGATTCAACCAAGTTGATTATTTATCGTGTGACTTTTTAACTTATAGCTGCAGAAAATTATACGATCTGCACAGCTGAGAAGAGAAGCTACCATCCTCTATAAGAGTACGTCGATTATATTGGCCTCAACAATCGCGCCGTGAGTTCTGCTTTCTTCATACTGGATAAGGAAGCGGAGTATATAGGTCTGGTAGTAAACGAGGGCATGACGCAATATCTCCTGTTATCACACAAACAGTCATTGCATTTGCAACTCGACTCCCACGTCACTGTTGACAGTCATAACTTCGAGGTCGTAGATAATGTCGTCTGTCTAGAGGCCAGCATTAACACTAATAATAACGTCAGCATGGAAATCTAACGCAAAATCAATCTTGCCAACAGATGCTACTTTGGACTAAGCAGGTAATGAAAAGTAAAGTCCTCTTTTGACGAACGAAAACCAAATTCTAAAAGTTGCTCATCATACCGGTTCTACTATATGGCGCAGAAACATGAACGATGTCAACATCTGATGAGTCGTCTCTAGGAGTCTTCGAGCGAAAAGTTTTGCGAACGATTTATGGTCCTTTGCGCATTGGCAACGGTGAATACCGCAGACGATGGAGCGATGAGCTGTACGAGCTATATGATGATATTGAAATAGTCCAGCGAATGAAGAGACAACGGCTACGTTGGCTAGGGCATGTCGTCCGAATGAATTAAAGCACTCGTTAGAAGGTTCCGGTGGGGGGTGAGCTGGCTTCACTTGGTATTTCCAACTGGCGCCAGGCAGCGAAACAAGAAAGGAATGGCGCGCTAAGCTTGATTCGGCTATAATCGCGTAAGTGATGCGAGCGCCAATAAAGAAGAATAAGAAGATCTCGGCG